GCTGGATTAGCCACAAGTTGTGGTGAACCAGGGTAAAATTCGGTGTGCCTCTTACTCTTCTCTTTACTTCTCTTTTGATTTTTTAAATCCTGCGATTTCTACGATCAAACGCTATTCACCCCCCCTCTAGCGTTGGTCTTTTATTCTAACAATTGGTATCAGAGCCTAACTCGTGTCCAAACTTAATCGTTTGAGAGTAAAGCGATCATGGGTTCTTCTTCTAGAAATCTTTATGCAGGAATTGGAGAAGGTCAATCAACCTCTAGGCCACCGCTCTTTGATGGCACCAACTACACATATTGGAAAGAGCGGATGAGAATTTATATCCGCTCAACCAACTTTCAGTTGTGGTTGGTCATCAAGAATGGCGAGGAAATTCCAATGAAGAAGGTCGGTGAAAAACTCTTCCCTAAGACTGCGGACGAATTTGATGCCGAGGACATCAAAAAGGTGGAGAACTACGCCAAGGCAATCAACATGCTATACTGTGCCGTCAATCCTGATGATTATCGCAAAATCTCTTGCTGCACCACTGCAAAAGAAATGTGGGACAAGCTGGAGGTCACATATGAAGGTACGGACCAAGTTCGGGAAGCCAAAGTTGACTTCCTAACGCAGGAGTACGAGATGTTCAGGATGAAGGAAGGCGAAAAGATCAATGACATGTTCGATCGGTTCTCAAAGATCATCAACGACCTTCATGCACTCAAGAAGACTTACGCCAAAAAGGATCTTGTGAGAAAAATCTTGCGAAGTCTCACACCCGAATGGAGATCAAAGGCAGATGCAATCTATGAATCCATCGGAGTCTCAAATGTCACCATCGACGGGCTGAGAGGTAACCTTAAAACTTATGAATCTACTATTCTAACCCCGTCTTTGGATGAATAAAAGAAGAAGGGAATAGCACTGTAAGTAACCAAGGAGACCGTGGAAGAAGACTCAAGCGATGATGACAACGAGTTCGGTCTCGTCATCAAGAAATTCCACAAATTTATGAAGAATGAATTTGAGCGCAAAGGAAGAAAGCACGACGGTCCCCCAAAGTGCTATGGCTGTGGCGAGATAGGCCACATCAAGCCAAGATGTCCAAAAGGCAAAAGCAGCAAGGACAAACCTGGCTTCAAAAAGCAACGAGCCTATATCTCATGGGGTGGCGACTCCGGCGACGAGTCAACTGATCAAGAAGAGGAGGAAGCCGCCAACCTCTGCCTCATGGCGCACGAAGATTAAACCGACGACGTTCAAGAGGTATGTACCATTTCTTCCGACTCTTATACTTTTGAAGAAATGCAAGAAGCACTCCATGAGCTCTATGACGAATTTGTTAGCGCTTCTAAAACCAATAAATCATTAAAGAAACGTCTTTCAACCCTTGAAAATGATTTTGAAAAGCTGGAAAAAGATAATGAAAGGCTCAAACAAGAAAACAAATTTTATGGCAAAAGAAGCGCTGACAAACCAGAAAGTTCTTCAAGTGAATGTGAATCTTGCAAAACTTTAAAAGAAAAGGTTGCAAAACTTGAGAGTACGGTTAAGAAGTTTAATACACCACACAAAGATCTTAATTTACTCCTAGACACTATGCATTTTTTTAAGGAAGGAATAGGTTTTGATAAAAATGAATCTAAGGATAAAAACGTTGAGCAAACACCTAGACAACCTCCTAAGGCTCAACATAAGAAAGTTAAAAATCAGGAAAATAGAAAATCTAGTCAACCTAGGGACACTAGACAACCTAGACAAAAACCTAGGAATGAAAATGTGCATGCTAGACAACCTAGGAAAAATCATCAAA